ATAATAATGTTACAATGCGAAATCCTGAATATATGTAACCAACCTGTTGTATTACTTTGACCAAATCTTTCAATATAGATCGCCTAGAACGATTAACGACGACAGCAGTAGCTAAATATCTCAATATATGAGGACACATCGTTTGAATAGCGTTTAAATAACTAAAGAAAAAATTACATAATTTTCAATTGTTATTATATGTAGTATATTGTTTAATAGTACTTGTAAAAGTATTGACATACTGGGGTCTATAAAGGAACATTTCTATGATTAAATCTCTGCCTTTCATATGATTGAAGAACACGAATAAGCTCCAGTGAATGAGCCACGTCCTTTGTTGTAATACTTGAAGAGAATTTCCTATGACATTGCTATCAATGTATTCTCTTAACTTGTTCACATCTTCCAATGCAGTATCCCAGTTTTGTATTAAGATCTCTGATGCCAATTTACCCCAAAGTACATTTAAATAATTCTAAAAGTATATAATTGATTACTATAGATCTGATATGATAATTTTATGAATCATTTTACAAGTATTAAATTTATTGTAATTTTGATACCTTATCAGTTGGTGGCATTATAAGCATGTAAAAGTACAAATATGATGTAGAAATAGAATAATTGCCACATTCATAACGATACTTTGCTAATTTCACAAAGTTATCCATCATCTCTACTTTAAACTATAATAATAAATCACAATTATTTCAATTTAACAATTTAAATCTTGTTCAATTAACGTGTCGTTATACTTCTGTAGTGTAAATATGTAACATCAAATGTTTTATTGTATATACTTACCTCGGTTATTTCTGTTAAACAATTGTTCAATGATTTTGAATCTCGTACATTCTCCATCTTCTTCATAACATCTTCATTATTCATAAGTGCCACAACAACAGATACATTATTTTGTAAGGTACCAAGTTCTTGTAATACTTCTGCTCGTCGAGCTTTTAATTCCTACAATTTTTAAATTCGCAGTCGGTGTTGTCATTTACGTACAAAATATTGTTTATTACATTCATACCTCTGGCACCTCTAAGTTTGGATAAAGTAGTTGTCGAATGTCAATTGCATAATCTATCATATTTGTTTTGCTAAGAATATTGAGCTTAGCTTGAAGTAATTCAACCTCATCGTATATCTGCAAAGCACAAGTGCATTATAACCACACTGTTTGCAGCAGCGATATGTTCTCCTTTTATTGTACCTGATTTGCAGATAAGAACTCCAAAAGTGGAAAAACTAAATGTCGATCCAAGTATTGACCTATGCGCGATGTCAAATCGAATTTCGCCATCTTTTTTCTCAAAGTAAAATATGTGAAAGTCTTTCTAACCAAAAACCTCTGGTTCAAAAATGGGCTGATCGCTGATCCACGCGATCCACGATCCACGCTGCGCTTGACCTCGCTTTACGTTAATGTCAACGACTATAGAACACCTTGATTGGAAAGTTTTTGTCACTCGATTAT